GGGAAGGAGAAGATAACTAATTGAAAACCATTGATGAATGGGTTTACATTTGTTTCTCTTTTCTAGATATTAAATATTATTTGTTTTCTTGCTTTGGACGAAGCAAGTTGATTTCATGTTCATCAAAGGTTGATTTGTTGTTATGTACGAAAATTGAATCACTTGTTTATTATATATAACGTACTACAAAAATAACTTTTTATGTCTCAATTCTAATAGATATATACTATATTAGTGATCAAGTGATTAAGCATGGTTTGTGAAACTATGGTTAAAAACAAAAAAATCGTTTGCAGCAAAGAAAAATAGATTGTTTCAATTCTGCTTTTTTTTTTTGATAAAGAAATGGGAAATTGGCCAATATAACTAAGAAAAAAATAAAAACATAATAACTAACCCAAACCCCATATGTGGCACTAATCATAGCCACTAATTTTAGAATTTTTGGTTAGATATTATGGTTTAATTTTTTTTTTGTTATTAACCAAATTGATCCAAAAGAAATTATGTTTGTGTTGGTAAAGATGATGTTACACCTCCGTAGATACACTTTTGCTTATTTTTCTAAAGGTCATTATTGATAGGGTTAATTGGCTTAATAACCCAAAAAAAATATATCTAAATAAGTAACCAAATACCTTAAATCCAATGGCTATTATTTAGCTTCATGGGGCCATTTTGGTTATTTTTTTTATTTTTTTGAAAAAAAGTGGACTTTTTATTAGCTGTTGTATACAGCAAATGGATCTGTATTAAATTATTTCAATGAGATTATGTCATTGTTGATGTACGTTTCTAAAGAGTTTAGTGTTTGTTATGTGGTCGAGTCTTTTTGACTTGGTCACTGTACAACTCTAACAAGTAAGTATAATTATTTCTCCAAAGACACTGTTTTGGTGAGATCGAACTAATTTATACGCAGCGAACAAGTGAGGTACATATGACGATTTATAACCATTTTTTTATTTAACTATATGTATACATATATAGGGTAACATATACAGTTTTATTATTTTCATAACAACAATTTTTTTTACGTTAAAACTCAGAGTAATTATACTTCGAATTTTACACAAAGTAAATCTTCTAAGTTTAATGCCATTTTTAGATCAAAATAAGGTTAATTTGCTTAATAACAAAAAAAAATTCATATCTAAATAAGTAACCAAAATGGTTCTATATGGCTAAATAATAGCCATTAGATTTAGGGTATTTGGTTACTTATTTAATTTAGATATGTTTTTGGGTTATTAAGCCAATTAATCCATCTAAATAATCTTCTAAGAAAGAAAATTGTAGTGAAAACATTTTTTTTTGT